TCTTAAAGAATAAAATACATTCACCTTAGGGTTTTTAAATATCAAGAGGAGATAGCTTGGCCATTATTGCTGTGACATGTTCTACTGATCAGGAGACAGAACCGGTTTATATAAAAAGATCCATATCAAGATATACTGAGAAAATTTTTCATGTAAATAATCTGCAAATTTAGAACATTTATTTATTGTGGAAAGAATTTTAAAAACACGCACTCTATATTAAGAGGAGAAACTAAAATTCATGCAAAAACTTGGTTGAAAAAAGCCAACACCATTCTGAAGGTCTGTGCCTTTCACCCTCCCCTATTTTCTAAAGGACGTCAAGTTATTTTTGAGGCACTAATTGAAATTCAGACCAGAACGCTGCTTAGCCTGCTGCACTATATGTAGCATCAGAATACCCTGAGAGGCATTGCAAGTAGCATTTTCTAGTCTTATCTGCTGGCAACGTTAGACAGTTAAATTTAGAAAATCATCTTCCATGTTCGGCCCCGTTCCCAGTCACTGCTGAGAACATACTGTGGTCTCTGTCCACATCGCAGAGATGAATCCTTTCTTATCAAGATGAGGGCAGGGTGTGGTGGTTTTTGATGTAACCAGCCAAGCCAGCTCCCTCCCCTTTATTCATGGTTTAATTGTGTGCTTTTAAAGGAATTACATATTGTTAGTCATTCCAGTAGATTCTCTGAAGAGATGGACTTGTGTGTACGTGTGTCACTTTATAGTGCAAAAGTGACCATATAGTGCAAATATATCAGACATTTGTCCTGATTTTTCTTTTCATGATTTATTTAATGATGGTTTATATTTCATAAGGGTAATTTTTAGCGCTATCTTCGCTGGGAATAGAGCCTGTTATGCAATGGTCAGATGTTGGCTGTGTCTGTAGGGAAACAGAACAACTCTAAAGTTTAAAAATAAATGGGTATACTGGAGAAACCCATGTTTTGTTACACTTCACCATTGTGTATAGTTAAGTGCAATTTTGGAGGATCAGGGTACACCAAAAACTCAAAACAAATTACAGGTGTAAGCCTTGATTTCTTATCAGTATAAATAAGGCTATGCTCTTCTTGAAATATAGATAGGTAATGAACACTGTATTGGAATATCAAAGTAAATTTAGTTTTGGTCACTTTGGTTGCATTACTCGCTGATGTAAATGGATGAAAGTAAGGAGGCTCATTTAAACCACCCTGCAAAGTGTTACAGTCAAATAAACCAGGGAATGCTGCTTGATTATTTTACTTTGCACACTTCTATTTGTGTTTTAGCTTAGTGACATCTTGTAGACTGAACAGGAGAGTGGAAGAAAGTCAAGTAAATGGAGACTAGAAACAGCATGACAGATGGACTGATATGTAGTAGACAGAAAGTAAGCTCTAGGCAACATTGAGTTTATACTTCATAGTCACTCGAAGTCTTGCTGATTCCCTCTGTTCCTTTGAGCCTTCATAGATTTCATGGTAGGGTAGATTTTAGTTAAACATTAGAAGAATGGACTAATTATGGACCAATTACATAGAGGTTGGTGTGATCCTTTCACTGGAGGTCTTCAAGCTTCCCCTGTTAGGGATGCTGTGATTCTGGATTTCCTGCATTTAGCAAGAAAATGGGCTAAGTGGCCAACAAGGCCCCTCCAACTCCATGATTCTATACTTCATGTTTTCTGAAGCTGCTTTTAAGGTAAGACTGTGCATGAAATTCAGTCATGTGAATGTTTTCCCTGATCTGCTTTCCCTGTGCCTGTTCTACATAGTTCCTAACTTTAGAAGATATTACCCACATTTCCTAAAACAGTATTGTGCAGCAAAGTTCTATTTCAGTTCACAGTTTGATGCTATACATTATTACAAACCCAAAATTGCATTTGCCTTGATTTGTAACAGTATTGTGATACTGAGTTGTGTTCTGTTTGTAGAAAATAATAGAAATAGAATAGAAATTCTCCATAGCAGTGTTAGTTCCTACTACTGTTACCTTTCCCCTCAAAGAACTCCTTGGTATTCTTAGTTCAGATGAAGTGCAAGAGACATGTTGTGGCAAGCGATGGGAAATGTTTGAGGTTTTTCAGTATTCTGCTTAGATGATCAGACCAAAAGTGGCTCTTTAAAGCCAAAACCAGTATGTAAGCTGGCTTCTGTTCTGTAAGACCAAGCAAATGTAACATAAGTCTACTTAACTTTGTACACATAGCAAGACCTGCATTCCCCAAACATCCAGACAATTTTAATTTAACAAAGATAGCACTCATATAGAACACCATGCTGCTACCATTTTGTTATCCCTTTTCCTCTGTGTGCTTCCTTTGTCCTTTTCCTGCAGCACTATTCTGAATGCTTTAAATTTTCCCATAAAATCTTTTATTCTTAAAAATTCATTTTATCAGAATGCTATGATCAAGATTTTGTCTGCTGAAGGGCATCGTGTTCTTCAAATACACCATACTTGTACCAAAGTTTGGATCAGATGTCAGCAAGAAGGACTCATTTCTGCATTGGGATCCTGAGTTCACTATCTCCTATAAATTTAACATGAAGTTCTCTGCATTTTGCAAGGAATTAAAAGGACGAAACCAATTAAAGTTTAATAGGGGTGGGGAGAGAGAAGATGAATGTCAGGGGGTGGATATGAGAAAGAGATGAGTGTGGGGAAAAGTGTGAGACTCAAATGCAGTTATAAGGAGTAGGGAGAGTTGAGCAACACAAATGTAATTGTTCAGTAGCTCTTTAAAATCGCATAAACTTTTAACTGCATAGCTTAGAGAACAATCCTGTGGCGCCTAGATAGCATTGCAGGGGCCATAGGATTGGACAGGAAAACCCTGAGAGTGTAGCCAGAACTTGAACATTGAAGGGTTTTCCCAATATCATTGCCCTTGTTTTGATTCAACCAGACACTGCTGAGATTTCTGTGATGGCTTCCTATATGATGCAGAAAGGATGCATTCCAACATCATTTGAGGGAATGTCAGTGGGGAGGAAGGAAATGGCTGGGGAGCCAAAGGATCTTAAGTTCACCAAGCAACCAACCATACTACCATCCCCAGGAAACATTTAGATGTCTTCAAAGCACGTCTAAATGTTTCCCTCCCAATGCCATGATAGGACTGATTTTTTTTTCTTCCATCCAATATTGTAAGCTCTGCCTCTCTTGCTCCTGCCCTGTCAACAAGAGTTGACATAGCCGAAGGAGGATCCAAGTGCTCTGATCTTGGACTGCTCCATAAATAGTATAGAATTGTTCTTTTATTCGTCCATTAATCCATCATGCAAAACATGTTTGTGTAGCATCTCCATTCTGATACTGAATAGAACAATGTCAATGTGTTAAAGAAGGTAACGCTTGCTTATGACAGAATGTCTTTTATAACTTGTTTTATTTTGTTTTCAAGTGTGGTCCCTGGCTTTAGTATTTAGGCTGGCTTTTAATAATCAGGACTAACCCAGCAAAGGGCTATTTTATCTAATGGGCAGTTTTAGAGATAAGAGGCAAACAACCAATTGGGATTTTGCTACCTGGTTTCCATGCCATATCACAAACCATTTTGGAAACTGTCCTCATTTTCATAAGTGGTTTGTCATACGAATATGCCAGAAGAAAGCTCAAACCCCTATTTCTAAGGATACTTAGATGTAAGCAAGTATTTCTTTCAGCCCTTGCTTCTTAATGTATTATTACCTGGTCAAATCCTTTAGGATGGGGTGAGTTATAAACTTGACATAAAGAAGGCAGTATAAACACTTTCACAGTTAGACAAGATTACCATGTCTGTCCCCTATGCCAAGAAGGTATAGGATTCCTTCATATTTAATAACATTATGTAATTTTACATGAAGAGTTTTTTTAAACCAAATTAAGGTTTCAAAACACCTTACCACCCCACTCCACAGCTGCATACTTCCATTAAAATCAAGAACCATCTAACCCTGACTGCACAGTATATATAAGAACAGAAATGCCTGTCTGACCAGTATTTATTTCAGTATGCACATCCTACCAAAGTGTTCCTGTTTGCCAAATAGATCCAGACAACTCAAGCATGGAAATCAAGCATACCATGGAGGTAATAAAGGGCAGGACAAATCCCTAGCCAATCTAACTTGGCCAAAGTTAGTGGGTGAAGTTGATATAGTTCGGGTCAAATTTCTTCCCAATTCCAATATACCAAGCAGGTTTTGCTTATTACTCTGCAGTTATTCCAGTGGCAAATTAGGGCATAGCAAATTACTTCTAACATGCAAAATATGTCACTTGTGAGAATCCAGAAGGACTGTATTGTAATCTTCACAGCAAAACCCTTTAATTGTGCAATTACTTCAGTAATCTCCCTGTTTTCCTGAACCACAAATGTACCAAATCTAGTGAGTCTGATGTGCTTCTGCAATCTTGAATATATTAAATTATTGGGCTGCAGTTCTAAGCACACTCATCTGGAAGTATGTTCCATTGAACATAGAAGGACTTACTCCAAGTAAGCAAGCATATGACATGTTTGTGTGTGTTTGGGGGGGTGGGGGGGTGGAATCTAAATATCTAAGATGTAGGAATTGGAAGCTTTGGGTCAATTCACACTTAGATTCACGCACAGTAACAGTGGTGGCTGATTAGAGTTTAGTGCATGTGAAATGGCTTCTTTTTGCATAGCTATATTTTGCATGTCATCATAACAGCTGATAGGCTGGAACTGGGTGGTCCATGTCCTTGGATCTTGTGATGAGAAAGTAGCTCAGATGAGAAATCCCTCCCTTATTCCTGTAGGATTTCCAGGTTTCTCAGCTGTGTGCTATGGTATCATGTCAGGAACACTGGAAGCTGTTACCATGCTCTAATTATGAGGATGCTAAATCATGCAAGAATCTAGCTGTTTTCATTCATCTTAGTAGCATTTTACATGGTTTTCTTAAGGCCAGTTGCTTGTGTGTATTAATAATTCACATGCAATGTAGCAAGTGTTTTGCCCTGAGGAAATCATGTCTGTGTATGTGTGTGTCACACAGGCCACTGCCATGAGAGGAGCCAAGATGACAGCCATCCCAAGCAGAAGTACTTCAACGTGCACGATTCTAAGACAATATCCGTGGAAGAAAATCTTGAGGCAGCTACTGAAGACGATTCGGCAGATCTTGTTCCTAATTCTGCAAGGGATTCATCTTTGAGTTTAGAAAGTAAGTGAATGTTGGACAATGAGCACAGCGAAGGGGATTATATTTGTCTTTGTTTTCAGAACAATTTTTATTTTGCACCTGTCACTGATCAATGAAACCCTTTTCCATTTGTGGAAGGGAATCCGGACCAAATAGTGTGCCTTCTTTTTGCCCTTCTCTGCTTGTGGGCTTTTCTGCTGACATCAGGTGGACAGCTCTCTCTCTGCACCCCCCCTTTTTTTTTCTCCTGACTGCCTCCACCAAACCAGCCTTAAAGCTCCTTGTGTCTCAGATTGTCACTTCCAGGTACTGCGTGTTGGGTTTCTAGGCTTAGCATGGTTAACCCAGAAAGTGAAGAGTTTTAAAGAAAGCAGTTGAAAAATTTACTGGGAAAAATATTAATGAGAAAAAGTTTTATCCCAGAATAGGTAGCGCACATACAGTACAAGCCATATATGCAAGTAGTAATTAAAATATCTAGACATACTTGAATCCGGCTAACCTTACTAGATTGTGTCCCCATTTTATCCAAGTCCCTTCCCAGCAATATCTTAATGGTTTGAAATCCTTTTCCATTTCTCCAGATTTAGCAGCCCTTTCTTCTAGGACTGAGCTACTGTTGTTGTTGTTGTTGTTATGGCTTTCTACCTGATCCCTTCACTTCCCTTCTAAAAATCTGCTCCTCTGTCTCAAGCCTTTATATATTAAAATATACCCTGCATGTTTCTGCCTCCAATGCAGAGAGTAGCTTCTTGATCATTCTTGCCCTAAATTCCTATCCTGAGTCCTTCTCCTAATTTCTGCTGTACTTCCTGCTCATTTCTGTATTTCCTCTATGTCTGCAGACTTTCTGCCATGAGGCTTTTTCCAAACTCTGCTTCCTGATTTCAGTAATCATTAACTGAATTTTTGACTTTTAGGCTGATACATACATCCAAAAAGGATGTAAACTTAACAAATCCAAACAAAACACTAGGCCAAAAAAAAGGACAGTTCTGCTGTTTTACTGCTCCAGTCCAGATACGGAGTGTCATCAGGGTTGCAGCTCCCACAGTGGGGAGTCGCAGTGACACAGCATTGCCACATATGCAACTTAAGCACCTGTGCAAGTTTAGCACCAGGGCAAGGAAGCTGACTTTTCCTCACCTTCTCCTAGTAAGCAGCTTTTAATTAATAACTGTTGAAATAATTAAATAACCAGGGTAGTTGACTCTTCCCCACCTCCTCCCAGTAAATTACTTCATTTCCAGGTAAACAAATCCAACAGCAACAACAGTTTTGAAGCTAGAAAGCCGGCAGGGTTATATTGCACTGAGAGAGACATACATGACTTTCTGCCAGCTGGACAGAGAGCGTGCTTGTATTTTAAGCGTTATGAGCTCTTGGCTGTCAGGAAAAAAGTATGTTACTTTGAGCCAAGTTTGCAGTCCTGAAAAAGCTGAGAGAATCAGAGAGGTTTGTGGGTGAGACCTTTGGTGTTCCACTCCTTGGGTGAAGGCTTTTCTGCTATCATAAAAAATGGGAGGTCTTGGGGAACAAGAGAATCATGGGGGGAAGGGGAATTGATTCCTTAGAAAAACCCTATTCTTAAGAAGACAAAACTCTTCTGATGAGAAGGATGTGCTTGCAGGGACAGGGAGCTTGTGGTAGTGAGATATTTGATCATCAGGCACATAAACTGTTGGATTTATCATGGGCATGTGGACTACATGGTAATTTGTCTGCCAGGTGAGAAGATACCACATGCTATCTAGATAGCTTTGTGGATAGTGTGGTGGAGGCAGGGCTTATGGTCTATGTTGGTACCAGTGACACAGGGAAAAGTAGTTATAAGATCCTGGAAGCCAAATGTAGGTTGCTTATAGGAGTTTGAAATCTAAGACTACCAGCATGGCTTTCTCTGAAATCCTACCTATTCACCACGCAGAATCGGCTCCACAGGTAAAGCTGAAGAGTCTCATTTGGATGCTGTCTCTAGACAGATAAGCCAGAGAGCCCCAGTTATCTGCTTCCTAGACTGGTAGACTTTCCCAAACAACCCAACAGGGAGCATCCCTATCCAGATTGGTGGGAGATTCAGGACAGATAAAAGGAAGTACACAGCTCAGCATTAAACAACGGAATTTTCTTCAACAAAATCTAGTGATGGTCTCTAATTTAGATAAGTTTAAAAGGGTGCTGTGTGAACAGAACACTGAAATAGATGGACCTTGGTCTGATACAGTACAGTTCTTCTTGTCTTATATTAGTGGGAATTTCAAGCATGGATATCTTTCAAGCAGATGTTTGGTACGTTTAACCTGCAAGACATCCTTTTCTTATTCAACTGTTAAGGATGATCTAAGAAATATGAAAAACAAATTGTTTAAGAACATGATGCGTTTCAGAGTTTATTGGGGCTGTTCTTGTACTACAGAGGTGGCATTTTCAAGGGTACTGGGACCCAGCTCTCTGTCCCAGACCCCCAGTCTCCTGCCATTCTGACCCCAAAAATGGTGATTTCCCAACTGGACACATTATATTTGTCCCTTTTCAGCCTCTGTTGTTGTTTGTCACTGAAATTCAGTGATAAATCACAGATTTTTTGCCACCAGACTGAAAAAATATGCCAGGAGTTCCACTGGAGATGGGGAACACATATTGCCCATCCCTAATGTGTTATTTCATTTGTTGGCATAAGTTAAGGCAAAGTACAGTGTTTTGTTTTGTTTTGTTTTGTTTTGTTTTGTTTTGTTTTGTTTTGTTTGAAAGCATACGGCTAACAGTTATAATACTTCTATGGGCCTGAGTGTTCTGTTTTGCTGTTCCTCCTTTACAGGCACTGTGATTGCTGAAAGCAACGGCTCAGAAGAAGTAGAGAGTATAGGAGATGCTCAGATGTCTGAGGAGATGCTGGCATTAGTGGATGAATTTGAAAACTCTTGGCCTCTTGAAGCCTTTGAAGGAGCATTGGAAGTGAAAGGCCATCGGATGGACTTGCAAGGGATCCGTGTCCTCAAGAAGGGTTCTCAGGATGGGCTTGCCAGCTCCTGCTTTGGTGATTGTGGAGAGGATGATGACGACGAAGACACCGAATGGGTAGGAACTCTCTCTCGTTTTCATTGTTTCTGAGACTTTAGTCATGGTTACTTGAAATTCAGAGGGTTTCTTTCTACTTCAGCATTTTGCCTCTGAGTAATCCACAGATGGAACCATGGGATTACTTCCATCTTACTGTGACAGAGTGTACAGCCCAGATCAGTCTGCAAACATTCCTATATTTTTATTAACACAGGACCACATTGTTCTGCTTATGTATGGAAAGGTTTTTTTTTTTTAATCGATTTTAAATTTGGGCTTGCTTTGTTTTTAACCAGCAAGCAGTACACCACTACAGGTCTCTCTGCAACTCCCATACTCATCCCTCTCCTCTATTTCTCTACTTCATGGATCTCTGTATGTCCATAGGTTTTTTTTTTTTTCTTTTCTCTGCCTCACCACGAAATATCTTCATCGCTACATCTCTTACACCCCTCTTCTTCTGTATTTTCCACAGGTCTTTCTTCACCCCATCTCCCAATTTTCTCATTTCCCCTCCTTCATTCTCCCCCTTTACTTCATTACTGTCCTGCTTCCCATTAATTCCATCTTCATTATAATTTATCTTGGAGGGGCCAATTTAATGGGAATAGCTTGCTCATAGCTTGGTATATATGTTCCCAGACTCTTTCTAATCACATTTCATGCACCATTTTTGGAAGAAAGGTAGGATATACTTTTAATATGTAATACAGAAAAAACATCTGTTGTTTTCTGGCATTAGCAAGCCAATGAATGCTGAAGTTCAAACTGAAACCTTCCTCTGTTAGCCAGACCAAGAATATTGGTTCTTCAGTACAAAATGGACCTCCACAAGTCACGCCACCTTATAACCCCTCAAGATGGCTAAAAAATGTAAGCCCTGCTCAAATTAATCTTCTATGCATAGAGCTAACACAGCCTTCCCCAACCTTGTGTCCTCCAGATGCTTTGGAGTACAACTCCCATCATTTCAGGTAATTAATTGGCATTGCTGGCTGAAGTGGGAGTAAATTGTAGCCTGAAACATCTAGCGGACACCAGGTTGGTGCAGGGTGATCTCACATTTAGAGGGAGAGTGGGACTGTGTCTCAGCTTTAATGTAGCTCCTGCTGGCTTCACCTCCAAATCCGTGCTTTGAGCATGGTCTCCTGCCTGCTCAAATAGTGGCCTTCTGCAGATGTGCATAATCAGGTGTGGAAGCAGCAGGACAAAGAAGCATAGGCTTCCACCTTTCCACACGCTAACTATCTTTCCTAATGAAGTTGTGCCTCTAGTGTGGTTGACCATCATCAGTGGACCAACACAATCATTTTACAGAATAGGCTCATTTCCTGCCGGTTTCAAATTTGTAAGTTATCTTTGGTGTCATTCTCAGTGCTGAAAATGTCGCCCAACCTTGTGTTAAATGCATTACTTTTATATGCCTATATTTGTGCAATTGATGCATTAAAATGCAAGCAGAATAAGAGTGGCTAGAGATGCAGCAAAAAAAGGGAACTGTCTGGAAATTGCCCTTGAAATCAACACAGTCTGCAGAAAATCAGATAGCTCTTGATTCTTAACACCATGCCTGATATATTTGGTCCTGTTACCCTCACAATTTTTTTTTCTGTGACAGATCACATTCCAAGTAAAACGTGTAAAGAAACCCAAAACTGATAGTCTGGAACCGCAGGAGCCTGCTGGAAGAACTGGAGAGGAAGCTCTAAATGGAGAAAGCGAGAACCTTTACCAAATGGCCCTGGAAATCAGCGGGCCAAAAATCCCCTCCCCTGGACCACCAGGTAATGATTGCTTTTTTAAGAACAAGGATGGAAATATCCTAGAACATTGGGTTCCATTTCATTCACACATCAACTGAATCATAATGTAAGATTATATAGTTTTATATTGCACAGTACAGTCCTGTGCACATTTATTATTCCAAAGTATGTGAGAGCACTCAATAGGGCTTCCCCCCAAGTAAGTGCTCATAGTTTTCAACCTTGGCCTCTTTAACAAAGCAGGCAAAACTGTATCCCTGAAGGACAGTGCAGCATTTGATTATGATCAGTGAAAAATGTAACATGGTACATTTTTCCTGGTAGCCAGAATCATAACGAAGTGAGTAGAATGAGCATAAATGAAAGTGACATTCAAGTCCTGCCAATTTTAAAAGCCGTATTCAACACAACTGGCATATGAATTAGAACAAATTAGATCAATAATTATGGTTTCCATGGGCTGAAATGTGATAGGTGAGAAAATACTGTTTTACAAAAATACCTCTCTTAGAGGAATTCCTTTACATCTGCAACCCAGATCATGGCAGTTATTCCATTCTCATGTTATAATAAGTGGGAGCTGTATTCCATGTTGCGGAGGACTTCCAAAATGTTTGTAGTTTACCTTCACACCATAATTGTATGTATATATATTTCATCCTTGTATCAAGAATGCTCTGTTGAACGTATATAAGTACCTGGTGAGGAATTTGGGAAAAATTGCAGCTTCGAGGAAACCCATATGCCTCTGAACCACCTGGGCTATCCCCTTCACTTTTACTCTCTCATTACTGTATGACCTTGTGGAACGATCTCTCAGGAATGCCACACTGGGAATTCGAGAAACTGCTCCTGCTTTGTGCAGCACAGCTTGCCTGTGGTACAGGTGCTGGGTCCAAATGCCCTGACTGCTTGCAGCTGTGAATGAGTTGCCACTGAAATCATAAAAGCAGCATGGTCAAGTTATACATAGAACAGGTTGTCCAACAGCCAGGGAACTGCAGTAACTGCAGCAGTACGTGTTCCAAAAGAGAGCCATGAAATGGGGAATCAGCCGTCAGACACACCAGGGATTGCTCTGCTAATAAGCCCACTGTGGCTTATTCACAGGGTGGTTTAGCCTGATGTGTGAACCTACACACAGTCCTCTTCTGTGTGTCCTCCATTTCATTTCTTGCACTGCTGATACGAACAACTAGGAGCATCTTCACCAGCTGATGTTGCATAGTTTGGCTGCATGATGCAGAATGATAACCTACAATTTATCACTATGGGACAAAAATCAGAGTAGACTTTGGAGTTGCAGGGTCTTCACCCTACCTTTTTTTTGGTCAGCCATCGGGAGAAGATTAGAAGTTTCCACTTCCATTTTTGACTAACCACAAATGAACATTATCACAATCATTATCATAATGTTTTAACATTAGTTTTAACTATGACAATTAGGTTTTTGTTGCAAATTTGGAAGAAGTTAATATTTACTACATCTAGCTATGCCTGTCAGACATTATTGATTCAATGGGTGGTCTACCCTTTATAGGAAAACAACTGAGAACTCTTAATAACTTGTCTTACGTGTTTGTTTGTTTCAAGGAAAAAGGAGAGACTACCGCAGCTTGGGCTGGCCAAGTCCTGATGAGTGCATCAAACTCCGTAGAGTAGAGCTGACTACGGTAGCCAGCACATGGCTAGCTGTTTCTGCAAAAAATATTGAGTGAGTACTTTTGCTAAACAAAACTGGGTCAGCGCATAAACTTGAGCAAATATATATATCCTAAAATGTTTGTCTGAATGGACTGATACACTGAACTTTGTTGTGCTTCGGGTAAACTCTGCCCTCTCATTTAGTGTGGAAACTCTGCTACTGGAGCTAATACTGTCATAGATAGTGATCCAGGTTTGTTCACCTTGATGTCCTTAAAATCAGATGCTCCATCAACGCTCCAAGAGTTTATAATGACTGTTAAACATAATGATTTTTGGAAACATTCCAGGGAGCCCCATTTTGGAACCCAGAATGGGTGTAGCCACCCCGTTGTCTCATATACCATTCATACAGACACAGACACTCCTTCCACGCAGTTCACAAGCCCATGCACACACTTGTCCATCCCATTCGTACACTCAAATAGAAACATATGTACATACTCTTTTTAGTTGATAAGGAGTATTTCTCAGCCCTTCCCACCTGGTGGACCACAATGGGGATGGGAATCTCTGCTGGCTGCTGCTGAGAGATAGGATCTTTTCCCTGCTAAGTGCTGCAAAAGGAGCAGCTGTCATCCTCAGTAATTGGTGATCAGAGATGCAGCAACAGCCATACTAGCCAACCAAGATGTGAGAGCATGTGTATCAGTAAGAAATAACATCCAGGCTAATTTACTGTAATATAATATATGGGGGACTGCTTTTGTAAGACAACTTGGAAAACTAAAATTAGTTCAAAATATTGCAGGAAGATTAGTGGGTTGTATCAGTTGGCTTTGAATGCATCTAAGTAATTTTATATGGCTTCACTGTCTGTTTCTGAACAGAAATCAAATTGCTGGTTTTAGCCTTGAATGTCCTATCTGGATTGGGACCCAGATAGCTAAAGGAAAGCTATTTCTTACCCCTGAAGCCTGCCTACTTGCCCTCAAAGGCTCTTCTCTTTCTGCTTTCATCAGAGGTGAGGCGGGTGGCAATTAGGAATAGACACCCCCAGGGCTGCTCACTTGGCACCTAGTTTTGTGAGCTTTTGCCAGTAGGCTAAGGCCTTTTTATTTGTTTTTAATGGTCAGTAACATCACTACTATTGTTTCAGGTTTTTATTTATTATTCTTAGGGTTGTTTCCAGACTAACAGTGTGTTCCTCTACCTACCTACTTAGACATAAGTCCCATTGGATTCAGTAAGACTTTCATGTGCATTTATATAAGATTGCAGCCTAAATCAATTGTACTTGTTCTCCACTGATTTCGGTGGATCTTACATCATCACAGACTTGACCTGTTGATTTTAATGGGGCCAATGCAACTAATTTAGTTTGGCTCTAACCCTTAGCATTTTATTCCTGGTTTCCTGAATGTTTCATGCTGTATTTTAATGCTGTTGATTATTTACACTAATTATTTTTCCCAAGCTTCTTTGCAGAAAAAGAACAAATTATAAGCAAGGTAAATAATGCATAAGTAAATATGCCAAAACCAACTAGCGGGTTGTAGATGGATACTGGCTAGTAGATAAGCTGTCACTACATTGGAACATCTCTTCCAACCTCCTTCTCTGAAATCCTGATTTCTGATTACTCGGTCTTCCTTTTCTTTGTAGTATTACTGAACACATCGATTTTGCCACTCCACTGCAAGAACCAGCCATGGAGCCTCTCTGTAATGCCAACCTCCCTGCCAGCATGCACACATTAGATCATCTCCAGGGCGTTGCCAGTCGTGCCAGTCTACATTACATGGGAGAAAGTCAACTGAAGGAGGTAGGCTTTTACTGTCATGTGTGCACTCAAGACACACGGTGCTGGTTGCCTACTTAGTCGTGCTTAGAAATCAGTGAGCCATGGATTTGTCCCGTTTATTTCAGTGGGTCTGCTCTAGGTACAGTTAAGTATGGGTCTAACCCTCTGGTTGGAAGCTACGGGACCTTTTCTCCGGGAAACATTATCTACTGTTAGCAATGATTGCCTAGTGCCAGTGGGGTACAAGAATTAACTACCATTAGCATCTTGCTAGACTGCTGGCAGAAAAAAACCCAGTCTGAATTATGTGGTATACAAAAGGAAATGGGTTTACAGGAATCAGGATTTAGAATCAAATTCTATAACTCCTTTGTTCTGCATTATGCAAATATTTGCATTTATTTGATTTTCCTAAATTATTTCTGTTGCAGAAGATAAGCTATGCCAAATTGTTCATTTTTTGCAGGGAATAGGTCTGCAGTGAACAGGGACGGAGGGAGGGAAATCCATGTGTACAAGTAGGGGCCATCAGAAATAGCAGGAACATAACCTTTGTCAAACGGCTGATATCTGACCTTGCTGCCTTCTGGCCGCTTAACAAAGCTCTGTCCATGGGTTTGTAAGCTTTTCTACACAGTCATGAGGACTGTAGTTCAGTTCTTAATAACTGAACTGTGACATTCTTCAGCATCTACACAGAACATGTAGAAGTAGAGTGATAATTTATCTTTTGAATAGTTCCATGGCCTCCAAGAGAGCATGTGAATAATAATAAATCAACAAATAATAAGTATATTAAACTATCAGTAACTTTATTTGGCTATCATATAGCAGCATTTGTAGTTTAAAAGACAGCTTAGGTACAGATGACAACTGGGCTTAGCTGTCGGAAAGGAAGAAATCACCTCCTCAAAAGGCAGGATACAGAATTTAAGATGCCATGAGCCTGATTTGGTTATAACTTCCTCTGGGCTTTTGTCTGTTCTTGTTTCTCAGGTATTGCAGAATCTTGGAAAAGACCATTATCCACCACAGTCTTTAGAACAAGTTGGTACTCGAATAGCTAAAGTGCTAGAAAAGGTAGGTGGACATGACCCAGACAAATTGTAATAATTTTAGTTAGATTTGTAGTGTTCTCTCAAAATTTGTGACATAAACCAGGCTGCAGTAGAATGATTTTTTTTTCTGTCTTCTTGCTGTCTCCAGTAATCAACAGATCTGTAGAAACAGAATAAAACAGACTGGCATACAGTCTGCGAGACACTTACTTAAGTAAATCACTAGAAACAGCCTAGCCTCTAAATCAGTCATAATATGTAGCACTGAGCATCTCTGCATCATGTATGGGTTTTGATTGCGGTCCTGGCCTCTTCCCTGGCACGATTATGTTGTTGTGCATGCTCACCATGGCTTAAGAAAGCAATACACACTACAGACATAGAAACAGTGAGTCAGAAGGGACCTGCTGGGCCATCTAGTCTGAGCCCTGGCTCCAACCGGCTCCACTCATGACATGCCTACCATGTGCATGTCCAGCCTATCCTTAAACACCCTCACCATTGGGGCTTCAACCACCTCCCGTGGAAGTCCATCCCATACCCTTGGGGTCCTAACCATCAGGAAGTACTTCCTGGCTTCCACCCTAAATCCTGTTTCCCTGAGCTTTGCTCCATTGATAGAAACATAGAAACAGAGTGAGAAACATAGAAACACGGTGAGGATCAGGCACCTGGCAGAGACTGTTTCCAAACTGTAGACAAGAGGGTATGTCACTCTCTTAAGTATACTGAGTTGTTAATATATTAACAGCTTTTAACATTCATTGATCTTCCAGGAATCTAACATTATCATTTCTGCAAGGTGCACTGTGAAGTGGCAGGAGTAAATAACTCTCTTGAAATACTTAGCTCAAGCAAGACAAGAGTTACTTACCATCATCTTAATGTTAAGGATCTAACACTTCAATCCCAAGTTCATGCCAATGGGTGGTTTGTTCCATTGGGAACAGTATATGTGAGGTGGCTTGGAATAGCATTTTAGAGATATAGTCCATAAAATCCAACAAAAACACAAAGCACACTCAGTAAAGATTGGCATACATGTAGATTGATCCCTGTTTTCAAGGAAAGGGGCATAGCCTCTAAGATGCCAGTGACAGCAGGAAGTTCTGGCCACTGCCTCAACTCGTGCCGTGAGCTGAAAAGCTGGATCTAGTAGCACCTTAGGCTGCAAGCTGCTTTTAAGAGTCAAAAAGAATTCTGTCATGGGTAGAGATGCCCTTTCCAGACGGTCTAATCTCCCCACGAACATCACCTCTGCTTTATCTCTTGGCCTGAGACACAAGTTTAGTTCAGAGAGAACAGATCTAGGTTGCCCAGTTAATGAAATATAGACCTAAATGCCATCCATATTTCTGCAAAGCTACAAACAGCCTCACCCAGCTTTCCAGAGGGATGCTGAACACTGATGTGGCTGAATATGCCAGCCTCCGTGTGTCCCCACCAGATTCTAAGGGTAGAATAACTCACAATTAAGTCCACAGATCACTGTTCTGGCCCACCCTTTCCTCACCTGGTGGCTTCTAAATGTGTTGGGCTGTGACTTCTAACATCTCCCAGCATGTGTGTCTGGTTGGGGGATGCTGGCACTTGTAGTCTAGCACATCAGGAAGGCAGCAGGTTGAGGAAGACTGTTCTGGTGTAAAAAGTAACTATCAAGCAAATCTTTTTCTGATCTCTGTGACCCCTTTTGTTGAATGTTTGCTCATGGAATTGCAGCTCCATAATATACTGGGGAGCTAACAGGCCTCCAAGGCAGCAGGAGAAGTCATTTTTCCACTCTTCCACAAGGGTTTCACTGGAACTGCCATCAAATTAGACACATGGCTAAGCACAATTACGATAATGGTGGGAAGTGTTTTATTTTAATTTGTTTTTTGAATTGACTAATTCCAGTATTTCTTTCAATCCATTTTTGAACATCTTTATCAATATTGTCAGTTGTTAATAAAGAGTGATTAGATACATGATCCTTCTGATTTGTTTTTTATTATTTTATTTTCTATGTATTATATTTCAGTACCTGCCTTTAGCCAAAGCTGTTTGGGCAGTTCATATCAATTAAACCTATAAAATACAACATGAAACCAAAATTAAATTAGCAGCAGTGCAGACACTGAAAATACAGCAAGAGATTTCAAGTAAGAGGAATCGAATAGGGAAAGAAAGGACTTCACCTAGTGCTGAAAAGATTCCACCAGGGGAAGCCTCTCTCTGGACCGCCTTCCACAGCTAGAGGGCCACAACAGAAAGGGAACTTTTCCTAGAAGCTGCCCACCTCACTTCATTTGGCAGGGCCTCCCAGAGGACAACCACAAATAATCTCAGGGTCCAGGCAGGGTGCATGCCTTAGTCCAAAACTGTAAAACTACTGTTACATTAAAACTCTTGATATATGTTGAAGCCCTCTTAATTTCCTGATATATTGAATCCATTCCCCCAAAAGGATTCCCCTTATGAATCCATATTCCCCTGAAAATGTTTCACAAGATTTGTAAGGAATGCTTGGCTCAGACCTTGACTTTAACCTCCGGAGGAAATAAGTTTTGTAGGTTTTGGAGAAGCTGAGAACCCTAGTCACTTCACTCAAACCTTTCAGCGACACTGCAAGAATAGTATATTCAAACTGACATTCCCTAATCACTCTTTAAGATGAGAGGAAGCAAGCTTTTAAATAACATGAGTAAGGGAAATGTTAAATAACACTTTTAATTACAGCAGATATATGTAGTTTGCACCTTTGACTGCTAAATGGCACCTATTTATCATTTTCCTTAGGAATTTTGCCAAGTTCTCAAACCTCCCCTAATCAACCAAGTACCTTTTCAGAGACCAGAAGTCTTTGCTGGTCCTCTTAAAGAGTGTCATGCTGATGTTCATCCCAGCCTCATTCTTTTCTCCTGCATCTGACCACCCAAATCCATCTTCCACATTGGGGAATGGATCTCATAGCAGATAGCTACATGATTGCTATGAATCACCACAGAGTGGCAGCATTTCTGCACTAAGCAAAAACCAAGGGTGAGATTTTGTAAGAAAAGCACATCATTGTTGTAACCATAATAAGCATCTACACACCTTCTCTGATAGAAAGCTCCCTGAATTAAAATAGTATCCCTTGCTCAGACCAAGATAAGTTTGGAGTGCCTTAATTATCAAATAAGCTTGGGGCTGAGGAGGAAAATTAAAAGGGCTTGTAACAGATGTATTTGATATATGCTAACATTATTTACCACTTGTTGTTTTTCCTGACGTGCCAGAATCAAACGTCCTGGGTCCTCTCCAGCATGGCAGCCCTTTACTGGAGGGTAAAAGGTCAAGGGAAGAAAGCAATTGACTGCCTCCGTCAAGCTCTGCATCATACACCCTACCACATGAAGGTGTGTAATGCTCTCTGTTGGCGGTTTCTGACTTTCAGTTTGCATGTGGGAGTTCATTTGCTTTCACTGATTCTCATATCTGTAGAACAGGTCTCATGTGAATAAGTTGCTATATTTTCAGATCTGTCCTAAAACTACTCTAAGTCTGTTGTCCACATCGTCATAACATGTAAACTGTGGTAGAAGGCCTTCACTCATAATACTGAGGAAGACCTGCTAATTGCTGCTTTTATAAAGTGAAAAACTGTCAGAGAAGGTCCCAGCATACCTGTGCAGCAGGAAGTTGACTATGGGGAGCCCCTCCCCATGAGCAGATGCAAATATCGATTTGGATCCAACCTTATGCTGAATAAATTTGCAGCAGATCTAGCTAAGTCTTCTCCGTGGTCTCTCTGCATCATACACAAGGCTTCTGCACCAGTGGCCATTCTATTCCTTCCAATGCTCCTCCAATCCATGACAGAACCATGGAAGGTGCCAGTACAACCACAGCCATTTGGAGATCTTGTACCAGGTCCAAGAGAGGGCCATCCCACAGCCAGAGTCAGTCACTGTAACGTCAATGCAGGGTTGGACACAGAAAGATCAGCGAACGGAGATGCCACTTGGACTCAGTGGCGAGGAGGGTCTACATGATGATGAGATTGGGCTTTCACATTTCAAACTATAAAGCCGCCATGGGGAGATATCAAGTCTTCATGTGGGAGAAGATGGGCATCTCGAAGTGACACCTCCTCTTGGTTCCAGCAGTCCCAAAAGAAGAAGAAGGACACCAAGAGGTGGCACCATTGACTGCTGCAACAAACCAGCCCTCCTTCCAGTGCTGCAAATATGGTTTGAAGGCTGCTTTACCATCTTGCTTCCCACATGGGAATCCATATCATTGAATCAGTCAGTTCTTCTGCTGTGGAGAGCACATATTGGCTATCTTATGATATCCTTCATCCTCCCACCTCTCAGAACTATATGCACAACACCACCCTCTCCCGTGCTGGCAGAGGGTGTCACTGTCAAAGGGAGGAATCAGTCCCATCCCTCCATCTGATCTCCATTATGGGTTCTACTCGCAGTACTTCATCACTCTGAAGAACAGCGGCCTCTGTGCCTTCTTAGACCTGCAAGACATTAACTTTTTCACCCCCCACCAGAAGTTCCACATGTTCTCATTGCAAAACATTCTGCCATTGCTGCACCAAAGGGACTGGTTTGCCTCAATTGATCTGAAGGAGGCATACTTTCACGTGTCTGTTCATCAGGACTACTGGCATTTTCTCTGGTTCCAAATTGGGCCCAATGCTTTTGAATTTTGTGTGCTTCCATTCAGCTGTAGAGAGCTTCCATTCAGCTCTCCACAGCTCCCTGGGTGTTCACCAAATGCATGGCTATGGTGTGCACCCACCTCTGGCTACAGGGGATCCAGGTCTTTTCTTACCTGGACAACTGGGTACTTGGCACCTCATCTCAGGAGGATCTCTTTGGTTCCACCAGGGACACATACAGTCTCTTGGAGAGACTGGGACTGTGCATTAACACCATGAATTCTGTGCTTCTCTCCCAGTTGATCCTTTATATTGGGACAAGGCTAGACTCCATAATCATAGAAGCGTTCCTTCCAGCAGACTGGGTGGTGGCACTGGTCATTTTATCTTTGCAGCTCCAGATTGAGCCCAGGACTTTGGTGCAGCAGGTGCAATGGCTCCTGAGATGGTCAAGGTTGTCCATGCCCAAGATACCGGACCTGACCTTGATGATGGATGCATTGCACCTGAGATGGATGCACTGTGCTGGCAGCAAGGCTCAAGGACTGTGGACCAATCGGGATCACATGCATCATATCAACCAGCCCCTCACAGTCCAGAAAGCACTGAATACTTTCCGGATTCTCTTCAGGGGAAAATATCTTAGGTTGCCTTGGAGAACACTATGGTGGTATTCTACCTGAAAAAACAAGGTGGCACATGATCTACATCCATAACCCATCTCACACTGCAGATATGGGCCTGGTTCCTGGAACATGACATTACCATTGTGGCTATTCATTTGGCCAGGACCGACATCACAGCAGACACCCTGAGCAGGAGACCCAAAGGGACCCAAGAATGGAAGCTGCATCTGGATACTTTGAGGCAGCTCATCGAGACCTGGGGAACCACATCTGTAGCCCTCTTTGCCATGCCAACCAACATGGCATGCAAAGCCTTCTGCTCTTGGGCCGGGATCTGCCAGGGTTTGATGCAGGCCACATTCCATCTCCATTGGAAAGGATCTTGTTCTACCTGTTCCCACCATTCCCACTGATCACCAGGGTGCTAGCCAAGATCTGGAGGGAGGGCACCACCAGCATCTTTATGACTCTGTGGTGGCCCCGGTGAGCATGGTTCGCCCACCTCCTCTGCCTTTCCAACCAGTTTCATCCACCTTCTGATGAGACCAGACATCATCTCAAATGACTGGGAGATAATTCTACACCCAAACATCAAGACCATCCATCTGATACTGTGCCAGATCAGTCAATAGATAAGGAGGATCCTCTCTATCCTGAGTGTCAGGCAATCCTGGATGCAGCCCTATGGTCAAACATGAGATGCTCCTACATGGCCAAATAGAACACCTTTACAGCTTTCTCCTGGGAGAAAGCCTTTGATCCGCATCAAGTATTCAACCAGCATATCACTGGTTTCCTCCATATGCTCCACACCAGAAGCCAGAAACCAGCCTCCATTAGAGTGTATCTGATGGCACTCTCTTTTTCTTACAGGATGGCCAATCGTCTCTGTTTTTTCTCATCCCTTGTCCCATCAATTCCTTATTGCTGTGCACAGCCTGATCCTGCCCATTCAGTCCTTCATGCCAGGATGGAGCCCATTGGTGGTCTTGCAGGCTCTTATGAAGTCTCCCTTTGAGCCCTTGGCCACTATGGATTTACACCTTTTCTCATGGAAGTTTGCTTTTCTAGTGGTGATCACCACGGCCAGGCAGGCAAACAAACTAAGGTCACATCACAGTTCCACCTGAATCATGCAATTGTACTGCCACTGTCAAGAGCCATTGCCAGCTTTTCCTTGCCAGTCCTGTGGCCAAAATGTCAGTCCCCTAAGAGTTGGGGTCCCTCCTATAACATACTAAGGGGAGTGAGGGGCAGCGCTCCCATCAAAATGATTTTAACTAGGGAAAATCTTCCAGACAACAGGCCCCTTGCAGCTGCAAAGCCCGTATGTGTGAATGCTCAGGTGACCACTCAGAGGATGTCAGTTACAGGTAAGCAACCTTACTCTTCAATAGCTGTGACCCTGCTATCCACAAGGCAAGCTGCAAACCTATATGCTGGGCTTGCAAAGTCAAGGAGAAGTGAACTTTTCAAAATATAAGCCCACCAGATTCTTTTTACAATTAAAAATGGCCATCCTCACTGCAACAGTTGGCAATTCTTTTTTGTGATTGTGGATTAAAATCCATCTGCTGGCAATGCCATGGCAGCAAAAAAGGAAAACTGACCTAACAAATGGGAGTGGATTCATTCAATAGCCTTCGCTTAAAATGACCTGATTTAAAAAGCAAAGTGTTCTTCTCATTGGATTTGTTCCACTTTTCTTCTTTTTCAGGATGTGCCACTCATAAGCCTAGCAAACATCTTCCACAATGCAAAACTTTGGAACGATGCCATTGTCGTGGCTACAATGGCAGTAGAAATCGCCCCGCACTTTGTCGTCAATCATTTCACACTGGCTAATGTCTATGTAGCAATGGTGAGTGAATAATCACTAGATTTGGTCCCTCTATCTTTTATAGCATCCTGAGGCTACAGTGCTACAGATGGTCAGAGTGTAGGAACAAAGACAGAATCCACAGCTGCAGATGGAGACAGCATGTAATAGCATGGTGGATCCACAAAATTTTCCCTTTTACTTATATCACATCTGAGCATTTATAACATCCAACTAATGCCAAAAATGTTGCCTCCAGTTCCTCCTCCTGACTTGCTTACCTTCTAGTTTGGAACAGGGAGGCCTTTGCTTCCCTCCTCCCCTATTGCTAAGACTGTGCTGCAGCTTCCTTCTCTGTTCTTTAGCTTTGCACTCTCCCTTAGGATCTTACTTCAGGCAAAAGAAGGTTCTCTCATCACCCATATGGTCTGCTCCTTCCTCCCGTCCGTCCGTCCGTCCGTCCGTCCTTCCGTCCTTCCTTCCTTCCTTCCTTCCTTCCTTCCTTCCTTCCTTCCTAGCAGTCACTCAACCTGTAGTCTTTCTACCAAACTAACACTTGATAAATGTCTGGTGCTTTTGAATCAATAGGGAAATATGCTAAGCTCATGAATTAGCACACCAGACAGAAAGAACATCTTGTGAGAATTCAGACAGCTTAGAAATGCACCGTTTTAGTTTCAGATTAGTAGGGAACAATAACGGGGAAAATAGATCTTAGTTGATAATGTCATGAAATCCTGTGGTTCTTCAGTGATATAATTTCTTTTACTCTCTTTACTTAAACTTTTCTGACAAGAGTTAACCTGATACATTGTTCCACGCATAACTCCACATAACTCATCTCTTCCTGCCATTGCTGTGAACTTTATAAATTGATCCTTGTAATTCTTACATATTTCATTCAACATTCTAAGTCATTTCAGAATGCCTTAAAAAGCCACAGTAGTCAGCAAATGTGAGTGTTTTCTTTCAATTTACAGAAGGGGATGCTAAGTTGGAAACAAATTGTCAGTGAGTGAACCATAAGTAAGAGTTTTTTTAAAAAAATTAAAAGCTCTATCTATTTATCTTTCTACCAGAATACGTATTTGCCTGAAATGTTTCTGACTTAAGTAAGGATTGTGACTTCCCAGAGATAGCCTTCTATACTTAACTTCCTCTGCTTTTCTGTTGGTCAGAATCTGCATTGCTGGTGTAGGCCTATTCATGTGTTCCCTTTGTGACATGGTAGCCAGCAAAACCATCTGTGTACTGTCCAACATGGGGTGGCTTTCTGTGCCGTGCTATGTGATTGAAATATACCAACAAATGCTTTAAATTGCTTCACACACATAGCGTCTCATAGGGAACCCAGTAGAAATATTTTAAATATGTTCAGCAGTATTAAAATGCATTTAATAATAATAAAGCAGCAACAATATAGGTGTAATTCTACTTTTCAGAAGGGACCCTGTTACAAAGGTAACACATGGTTTGATCCCCAGGCCTCTAACTGCATGTCTTTAAATCGATAGCCTGGCTGAGATGTGATGCTTCCCTGTGCTTTAGCACTGCGGAGTGAGGAGAAGTGAGCCACAGGCTTGTCTCATCCCTTTCCTGCTCTTCATTCAACTCATCTTGGAAGCATTTGCTTCCAGGTTTAAACCGACTGTAGGTCGTCATTACATCTGAGAAGGACAAATTGGACTAATTTAAGATACAGTGTATTGAAATTAGCCAAGATCAAGCTGTGGTATCTGATCATGGCTTGTTTCAGTAAACCATAGTGTGTGTACTGTTTCCAGATCATAAGCCCCCATTCCTCTTCTATGCAGGATTCCAGGGCATCCTATTTCATTCTAAGGAATAGGAAATCAGGGTCATCACAGGGAGAAGAAACACTTTTGAGTTTACATCTGTTACTGCATTTTATGATATTTGTTTCACTCTAGCTCTTTTAACCTGTGGATCCCACTGAGTGCCCTCTACTGCCTTGAAACACTCACCGAGTTCTTTCAAGGGTCCAATTTGTTTCCTCTGATCAAGAGTGAGAAACCACTTTCTGCCTGCTTTGAATTCCATTTCAAAGCAGCACTCAGGGGCCAAATTTGAGTAGTATATGAAGCCAGGGAAAGGGAAAATCTAAATTCCAAAAATACAAGTCTATTGTAGCATAAAGCTCTTACTGTAAGTAACTAAGCGTTAGGAGAGACATTTCGAACTTTTAAAATGGCAGCTGGGATGAGATGTGCAGAACCTTGACAAACAACCTAATCATCAAAGCAAAAGAGTGTGACAAGGAAAATGATGTGCAGTTGTGCAGGGACCCAAGGACCAGATTTGGCCTCCAAGAAGCTGGATTTGGCCTCTAGGTCAAGCCTTCATCTAGGATCTAAGTTTCCTTCCACCCTGGAACACCTTTGCATTGAATATGAAGGTGGGTAGTTAGCAGGCTCACCTTGGGACATGCTTAACTCAGAACATGGTGTTATTTGTGTTGCTCTGCCACTTCCTTCTTAGTCTTCTCCCAGCCTTTGCTGCTTACAGAGCTGTTGAGGAAATACGGGCAATGCTGTGTTGGGCCACTGCTGTGTTGCTTCTAACTTGTCTTTGTCCATGTTGAATATGAGTGGACAGGAATTCTATCTGTTCCTTGACTCCTCACAACATAGTCCTGGTTCAGACGTAACCACGCACTGCAGTCAGGTTAAGCCATGCCCTTGCCTCTTCCAGTCTCCTGCAGGGAAGCATTCAACCCAAGGCCCAAAGAAGAGTCATATAGTGCTAAACTGTGGTTTGGCATTATGGTTGAATCAGCTCTAAGAGTGAATGTATTATTAGTAATACTTGAACTAAAAGCGTCAGGAAGAATTTGTGTATAAATTCTATGCTTGATACTCTTCACCTGGCCTGCAGTTATTTGTTGTGAAATGCTACATAAGAGCACTACAGCAGTGGATTCCCCATAGTCGTCTTTCACGACATGTTGATTTTGTACCAAAAGTGATATAAACTGAACCTAGTTGCTTGTCATCATTGATTTGGGCCCATTCATATATCATACTTGAGTAACTGGGATGGATTTTAGTCCAGAGTTCAACACCAATGCCTTAGTGTATCATCACCACCACCACATTAGTACACCAGTTGTAGCCAAAACTCTCTGGGCAGTTCACAACATTTAAGTCACCCATCGACTTACTATATACTGTGCTATAACCCATACTGATTGATTTGCATCTGTGATCTCTACAGGAAGAGTTCGAGAAGGCAATGAGATGGTATGAATCAACACTGAAACTGCAGCCTGAATTTGCCCCAGCAAAGAATCGAATCCGTGCCATTCAGTGTCATTTACTTATGAAAAAAGAAAGACGTTCTCCTTAAGGAGCACAATCTTCTTCCCTTTTTTTCTTGTATTTGTTTTTTAAGGCAACAAAATCATTGTTCACTATTATGCTTGTAATGAGGTGTGCTAATATAATCTGGGAAACCAGGATTTGTGCTAAGAATTGAAGGTTGGTTTTATTATTCAGAAACCAAAAGACCTATGGGGAGCTACATTAAAAATACTTTACCACAATTTTGTATAATTAAATATTGAGCCCAGAAACCTTCCACATGCCTGTGAACCAAACACCATTAGAGTCCCATGAAACTCAAATTGATGCCAGCATCGAATGTAACCTGCTTCTTGTCTTAGCATATCTATGAAAATGCAAAGCACATTGTTGCACCAGACACTGTACGTAGCAAGAAGCCATAATTAGCTTTTCATCCATCAGAAATTCATGTTCTGCCATCTCAGCCAGTCCATATTGTAGCATTACCAGCTCAGAGAAAGATTAAGAGATAAAAGTGCAGGTGGCTGCAGACCATTTTTAATGTGTTTTGGGAGCATACAATCTTTTTATCTACACTTTTTCCATGGGGGGAGGGAGCTGGGGAACAGTGAGAACAGCAACTGAAATTAAATGTACATTGGTGAAAAGACAAAAAGGAAGCAAATAAGACAAAATATTATTTTGGAGATTTTATATCTATATATTTGAAGGACACTGCAGCCCTTAGCCTGCCTTTTACTAATTATTTTTTTTACCCAACTGATTTTAAGTTGCAAATGTTAAAGACGTGCACACATGCTCTTTCTCTCTGAAAGCTAGGGAAAGCGAGAACAAACAAATGGTCTGTTTCCAAATCAGCTTCCACCGTGGTCAGTGAAGGACCTGGAGCTCCAGATTTCATTGTTGAATCAACAAGGACACATAACTTAGGGAAAAAATAAACTATTATATTAATGAACTGAATGTTGGCCTCTGTTTTTAAAAGTCAAATGTCTGGATATCATAAGATATGAACAGCCCATGTTTCAAATGCTGTTTTCTTAAGAGAGTGTATGGTTGCTCAGTAGAGTTCAGATTCTGCTCTGTTACGTTGGCATTGAAACAATCCAAGCCCGCCTTAGGTGTTCTACTTGACACAGGATCTCACGGAGTGGGTGAGAGGGCTGTCCTCCTGTGGCTGACCTCATATTCCCCGTGCCTCTGCCCCCAGCCCCAGCTGTAGATGCATCACAGGAAAAAGAGAGTTTATTCTACATGCCTAGGCTTCCCTGAAAATTTACAACCCTATGCAAGCTCACAAAATTAAACAAACAAATTTGTTTAACTTTGGGGGCTGGGGTGAAGCATCCTGGATTAATTTTGGAGCTACAGCTGGGCTGAAGCATCCTGGATAAGATTATTTGAAGAAGAAAGGGTATTTGCTTGGTTTGCTGTTACTGTTTTCTGTGCATAGCAGAGGTAAGTCCAGTCACAGACCCTGTTCCTCACTGTCAACAGTAGCAGCACTTAAAGCCTCCAAGCACAAGAGCAGGCTGCCTTCCTTCTGTTGAAATGTTAAAAGCCACGAGGGGGAAGGGGCTGTGAGCAAGTTAATGGGAACAAAACAGAAGCAGCAGCAAAACCCTGGCACTTTTTAAAAGTAAGTCATGCCTGGGGGTCACTGCTGTCCATGGTGAGATGACAAAATCACTGAGGAGTGTGCCTGCCATGCTACCTGCAGCCACTTTCCTGCATGTTGTGTGGCGGTTACATTTGGGAAGTCGCCCCATCTGTCCTTGGCCCCTATAAAAGCTTTGAGCGAAACAATGGTGAGGCTCTGTGATCTAGATTCCAAACAAAGCCTAGCAACAGTCTGTTGAATGACAAAGATGTAGCTGAGCTCAGCATATGCTTCTTTGGAAATCCAGGGCATAATTTGTAGAGAATGTTTGTGCTTGCATTCACCCTCTGACAGGGTTCTCTACAACCGGCTATGCAACAATAATTTTAAGTCAGAGAGCAAACTGCAATCACACAGGTTTGGGCAGTAGATAGATCAGGATATATTAGTAGATCACTGGTTATTTACAGCAAGGGTCTCTGACTCCCAATTTTGTCATAATCACAAAAATAAGGCTAATTTTTGTCTTTTGTTAGAATTACTTGGACTGTGGTAACTTGAATGTAGAATTGTACATATTCCTGACAGTCATATTAATATATGGCTCAGGTGCTGCTGTACTTAAGAAGAAGATCAAGCAGTGGTTGCATAAGATTGAGTACATCTTAATGTTTGTGGACATCAGAAATTAAACGGATGTTTCTGCATATCTCAGGAGACTGCAGGAACTGCTATAGGGCTGCTATATAATTTTCTCTTAAAGTTAGGCAGCAGTCTGCGATGAAAACAGATGTCATCATTTGACTGTAAGATGACATGTTTGCCTTCCACAAAATGGAGCAAATATGAGTATATCAGTCAAGAATGTGAAGGTACACTCCTTTTTCCAGGAAAATAAGGTCCGTTCACTTTTTCAGAACTTCCTTCTTTATCAAGCCTAATGACTCATCAAAGAAGTAGAAACATCATCTTGTCATTATGTCCTACAGGAAGAGCAACTTGATCTTCCCTTTCTTATTTTTTCTTGCAATTGACAGTTCATTCTTCATACAGTCCCTCTCTCCAGGCATCAGAGATGAAACATACCAATCCTAGGTTCTCTACCATGCAATGACATAGTTTTCTCAAATTCAGACATTTTAATCCTGATGTGGTATGATGTCTATAAAATTAAGTAGAAACTGGCCATTGGACAAGTGCCACCATTGCTAAACACATTGCCAGGCATTGTTTCTTGTAAGAACTTGCCAAGTTCTCACCAAGCTGTGTTTATAACTATGTCACTTAAAAAGTGAAGCTCCAAAACTGAAAAGTTCAGCTGAAATCCAAGAAGCAGGCACGCAAGAACTGTTTCTCTGTCCCTATTTACAGGCAAAAATAAGCAGTTTTTTCTTTAGCCTTAGTTGCAACACACAGGTCCCTTGAGAAGCCTTGGATTAAATAAAAAGGAAACTCTGGGTTTAGATTCATTCAAGTGAAAATGGACTACAGAATTTAGTTTTTACATTTCACCAGTGCAGTGGAAACAAGCTTGAAGGGATATACACAAGCCTTCCTTAGATCTGAGTTTTAGGTTATATGTTAGAAAGCATGTTATGAATTCATCTATCATTTTTGAGCCAGGTAAAATTTTGCATCTAGGTTTAACTGCTACAAAAGTAAAAACTACTTCTAATTCAACTTGTTTGCATACACTGATTCACCCAACCTAGGGCTTGAAGTATCTATATTAAACAGCCAAGAAGGTTTCTCAAGAGTTTTGGGTTTCAGGGAACTAGACAGCAGTGTAATCAGTTCTCTCCTCACTATTTTCTTGAATTCCAGAGAAACTGAAGAAATCCTGAGCTAGTATCTTAAATCAAGGAAAGACTACTAAAAAGCTGAAGCCTAATCTAGACATGGATTTGTGGAAGCAGTATCAGATGAAGGAATTGCTTATGTGGGAATTGCTGCACAGCCTGTTGGGGAAGGATTAAGTCCACCACCAAAGGCACAATTAGGCACACCAGTGGCACCTGTAGCAAGGAGTGCATTTAGTTAGCTTTCACTGGTGAACCAGCTGCAGTGTTCAAGCTTTTTCAGCCTGAAAGCCAAACTCAAGCTCTAGCTGGTTCCATTCCACTGGTGGGTGGGGCCAAAAACAAAAGCTGGTCCAAAATGCCAGCATATAGCTTAAAGCATTTGCTGCCAGTCATTAAGCCTTAGGACAAGCATTTCAACCATGTAGAACCCTGGGAAAATACCATACAAGAAATCAGGAAAATAAAGCAACTGCTGGTCAGCAGGAATGGGCTGGTTGAGCAAAAGCAGCATGGCTGTCTGGGAGATGCAGGGGACATGGATTTGGTCCTAGACCTGAGGTTCTGTACCCCTTTCTTTCCTGGGAGAGATGTCTTGGAAGAGTTAGAGGACAACCCAGTCAACAAGCTAGATAAAAATTCTATGGGTCCTCTAAGCTTTACATGTCAAAGGTGTTTTAATAAATAAATAAATGTTTTAATTAATAAATAAAAAAGGTGGACCTTCCCACAGGTGGGCTATGAATTCTCTCCCCCAGTCTCCTTTCCACACTTTGGATGTTCACTGGCTATTGGCCTTCTCTCAGATGCGACTGAGAACTTCTGGAAAAGTGCAAAACTGCTATGAAGGTCCCAAGAGGGACCCAGTCTCCATGTTGCACTTCTCTGTTTGGGTCTACTCAAAGATCTACTCATTCTACCAGCTACCAAGATTCCCAGTCTGAAGCAGTCCAGGGATCTTTTGGGCTTGCAGTGAACCTCTCTGCTAGCTTGCTATAATAGCCCCAGATCAGGCAGACTGCAAGAAATCATGATGAAGAAAGACAGGATGCCCATCTGTGTCTCAAATATTTCAGCTAGTCCTCTGTGCAGCCACACAACTCATCCTCCTGTCCTTCTGAAGGTGCCATTATGCATCTGCTTCTCCATTATCTCCATTTTTATAGCTGCCATGTCAGTCAGAGGTTTGAACAAGAGTGGAAAGGCAGGAGCCACACCACCTTGAGCATGCGATGGCAGGGTAGAGGTGGGGCATCCACCAGAACTCCAGGGTGAAAAGGACTGTCCAAAATAGGTTCTGCTCCAATACAGATTCCATATGTGTGACTGCACAGGTGGCCCCTAGCAGTACTACACAATTCACAATAATTTACCAGACCAACGTTCTGTCTTGATGAACACTGGGACAGCAAATTATAGCTTCACATATACCCTGAACTGGCAGTGGCTTACCAGGAAAAGAATCTTGGGGTCACGGTGAATAGTGCAGTGAAAATGTCACCACACAGCGTGAGCTAGCTATGGAAAAGCCAAAGTGTTCTGGATCATTACAAAAGGGTGCAAAAACATGGCCTCTATGGTAACACTTCTCTCCAACTCGGTCGTGCAACAATGCTTGGAATTCTATGTACAGTACGGGTTGCCGCAATTGAAAAGGATATAGAACTGGTAAAAGTGGCTGCACTCATTCCTCTGGAAGGACTGGTTGAAACAATTGGAACTTTCTGGTTTAGGAAAATGCAAATAAGGAGAGACAAGAAAGACATGTAGGAAACTATGCATGTTGTGGAGAAAGTCAACCAAGATAATTTTTCTCCCTCTCTTATAACAGCTGAACTTGTGGTCATCCAATGGTAGAATTTTAGTTACGTACCTATGAGAGAACAACGGAAGCAGAGGTACCCTGAGACAACGAATCCGATGCAGAAGCAATGAATCACCTGAAGGCAAGAAAGTCTTGATGTCCTGAAGAGCTTCTCAGGGGAATCTGATGAGGGACAGCGAAATTGTTGTTTCTGCCTCTACCTAAGCTATATGTACAGAAATGCCACATATCTCCAGCAATCCCTCGTTCAACAGCAAGTTTCCACAGGAAGTTAAAACCTGCTAAACTTTGTCCCTAGAACCTCTCACTGGTCAGAAAAACCAAGAATACCTATAAGCACAATGCTGCATGGATGCCCCCTGCCCACTACATGCATCCCTTCTTCTTTAATCAAGTGAGGTGTGGACATGATCAGACTTCCAGGAAAATGCACAGCTTTCTTCTCTCCAGCACCTTCTTCCCAAGGTTGAGGTTGTTGTGCAGCAGACTGTGGAGGAAAATGTGGCCAGCACCTTTGGAATCCTCCAGGTGGCAGCTGGAACCTGTTCTAAGCCCAGCTTGTATGCAGGGGTGTATATGAGTATATATAAGGGTGTAAATAAGATACATGTCCCCTCATCCACAAGGACTAAATGAAGTTTAGTTACTTTCTTAAATGAAGAAATACATCAGAGCCAGATAAAGTTCTGTGCCATTTCTAATTTCTAATGAGGTCTGGATTTTGTTTTGGTATTTGCCC